TTTTCTTTTTGAAGTTGCATAATCCCATTTTTTTGAGTTGTAGAGCTGGGGTGCCCAGTGAAGCAGAGTTCGATAACAAGGGTTTTCTTTTCGTGACTTTTCGTTTTTTTATAATTTTTTCTCTTAAAATATAAACTGACCCCACTTTACTAACATTAATTAACCCATTATTTTCTTTTTTTGTTTTTTGTTCCTCTTTTTTTTATATTATTTTTTCCTCAAATACAAGATAGATTGATAAGTATTTTTTGATAAACATCTTTTCCCAGATTCTCATGACAACCTAGAAAAAAAAAAGATAAACATCTTTTTGTTTTTATTTTTATTTTTTAACGTTACTTTATTCTTTCGTTAAAAGAAACATTATATTATTCTTATTTTTCTTTTTTAAGACTTCATACCCCACCTCAATATTATTCAAAATTATCATATACGTAATATATATATTAAAAAATTTAGGTCTCGTTAGGCTTCGACTCAGTGGAGTTATCCATGAATCGACTCTCCTTTGTCTTTTAAAACATTGATTGGGATACATAAATGGCAAAATAGAATAACATATATATTATAAACTATTAAAACGTATTGAAAACATGAGGAACAAGCATGTAATGAGTGTTCATCCACTTCAACAAGTCTCCTACAATTTATTGAAAAAATAAGATGCAAAATAAAAATAATCTATTTTCTCTCTAAGTGAAAGTTGCGACCTACACGGGTGCCTAAGCGGGTCTAGGTCGGCACCTAGGAGCGCTTTCATAATTTTCAAACGCCTGGGGATTAATCGAGTCAGTGATTACTGTCTAGTACCTAGGCAGCGCTAGGTGGGGGTTTTTCTAATACCCCGTATTAAAAATAAAAAATTATATACATATATGTGTGTGTGTGTGTGCGCGCGCGCGAAGTTATTTTTATGTAATGATTTTATTGGATTTCTATTTATACGTTGTGTACAAGAACTTATGCTTTTGATATGTAAACTAGTCTCAACGTAAGTTCATTTTGCTACAAAATTATTTCATAAACTAGCTTGTATTATTTCATGTTCATATGCAATTAGAGATATTTTTAGTTTGAATCGGAGAAGGGGATTATGATGAGTTTGGTTTGATTTTTCTCACAAAGGCAAAGTGCCATTTTGACAATCATTAGAGAGTAAATAGAAGGTATTCTTCATCACTCTAAAATAGAGGTGGAAGTCTACATAAGGGTGAGTTGGCTGTTTGTAATCATTAGGAGTTAATGATTAGTGATTATTCACCACTCCAAAATGTGGAGGTGGGAAATCTATAGCTTATACGTGTGTCTAAGTGCATGAGTTGGCAATATTTTGTGGTTTTATAGTGTTGATTCACTAGTCTAGAAAAAATCTTAATCATTTGGTTACAATATTCTCTATTTAATTTTGTTCCAAATGTTCCAATGAGGTGAGAACATATCGATTTGAAATGCAAGTGCAGACGTGTTCCAAGATCTCCTTATTATCCAGAAGTAGCAGCCTTGATATGATTCCATTCTCTATAGATGAAGGAGAATAGCTAAGGGAAGAACACAGGGGAAAAATAAACAAAACCTCCTCTTCTTCGTAGACCACTCTTCTCATTTTTTTTTTCATTTACTTTACATGCTTTAAACCATTTTTCATTGTATTTGTAAAATCCTCCATATATAGTGAAATAGAAATACAAACACCATCTCAGTGGACGTAGCCGATTTGGTGAACCACTTAAACTCGGAGTGTGATTGTTTATTTACTAGTTTTATTCTACTATCTGCTTCTTACCTTCCCAACAAGAGCTATGAAAGCACACCATCAATCAATAAAAAAAATAGTTACTTGTGCAAGTCATTCACCGTGAACTACAAATGAAAGGAAGACAAAATTAGGAAGGAAAGGAACCAAAATGGGATACTCTTGGTCATCATGTCAACCTCACCAATGGGAGCCATGGCGGACGATGATGATGTTGGGGTTAAGACTTGTACAACCGAGCAAGCTATATTCCAACATAATTGCTCTATGGAACCCAAATGGGGTTATGCATCAATATCATTAGAGAGATGGAGTAAAATGGTAAAGTAATATTTCTCAATTATATTGTTGTGTGTTATCAATATTTTATTATTGATAATGTAATATAATTTTGGCTACTAACTATTTTTTTATTAGTATTGCTGATTCTATGGTTGTTATAGAGCATGTAATAATTGATACATGGCATACACATAAGCATTCATGCAAAGCAAGAAAAAAAGTTGTGATGTGTCAAGTGCTCACTTGTGTAAAGTGTTTGAGTTGTAAAGATATTCAGGGGCTGGAGAATGCCTTGAATATATAATAATGAAATCTTGTATATGTCAAGCGTCGGGGGAAGGGCTTGAAAATACAATTGGGCACTAGGGAAAGTACCTATATAATAAAGTGGAAACTGAGAATTTAATTCTGAAAATTGGGTTTAAGAGATGAACGAAAGTTAACTCATATTCTAAGGTATTTCAAGCCAAGTGGTATAAGCATGGTATAGGACATGCATGCTTGGATGTCTTAGGTATGTGTTAGCAGGATTAGAAGAGAGTGAGTGCATTCATCCATCTCATTTGCATATATTTCATGCATTTGAAAGAATTGTTGCAATTTAATTATTATTTAATGGGTAGTTTTTGTTGTGGATTAATTTGTGCACTATTGTTATTCCGTTGCATTTTCGATTTATGTAAGATTTTGTTATGGGATATATGGTGTAATCGTTATAATTTTATTTTATTTTCCACCACATCTTGGTTGTAGAATTATTTCTATAGCTAAGATATGGCTCGCACCCTAACTCGTGAATAGTCCTTATTCGCGGGTAGAGGCGTGACAATTTTTTTAACACTGATAGTAAAGTTTGAATATGTTTCCTATTAATTCCCTACTTGTGGACAACTCAATTCTATGGGTGTAGTAAAATTAGGGTTTGATAGCATTTTAATAGACTTCAAATCCGGGTGTAGTCAATTAGATTTTAAAAAAGGATTTTAAAGGACTTTGAAATCATAGTGTAGTCAAATTAAGATTTAATAGGATTTTGAAGAATACTCAAAATTCAGGAGTAGTTAGTTAGAATTTTAAAGAATACATCTAAATTCAAGTGTAGTGAAAATGTCAAAAATTTGTTAGAATTGTAATAAGTGAAGGATTTAGATGGATTTGAAGGTGGTGGTATATATATACCAAGGACAACTAAGAATCCAACCTTCACCCCTCAAATTACTTTTCACGCGACCACAGAAGATGAACATTCATTTTCCCCGTCCCTCCCTTCCCTATCATCACCTTCAACCTCACTGTTTAAACTATAAACAAACAAAAGCCAAGGTGATGGATTGCCATACAGAGTAGGCTAAGGTGATTGCAGAGAAGAAGATGCAGAGCAATAATTTCGTGCAAGCCCTTTGGATCAATTCACACTCAAATCATCAAAATTCAGCAAGCCAATATCACAACCCATATTCCAATTCCAAAACCCACTTCACAGAAACAAACTAAAACCTCCATTTTTCAAAATGCTCAGATTCCATCCTACCCAACATTTCTAAGAAATTCAATACTCACTTAAATTTCATAGAAAATAATTTAACAAATAGCTTCGCCTTTTCGTGCCAAAGCTAGGGCTTTATGTATCGAATTTTCTTCGGTACTATCGGCTTTTGGTGCTTCAGCCATCGGAAGGCACTCTCTTTGGAAGCCATTGAAAGGCACATCAGAGAGGAAAATGGGCAGGGGAAGAAATAGATTTCTTGAATTTTTGTTAATTGAAGTGACGAAATCATTCTTTTTTATTTAATTTTTTGACATAAAAAATTATTTTTTTTCTGAAAATCCTAAAAAATCTATGGAAGACGTCCATACAAATCCATAGAAACTTATATGGAAATCCATATAAATCTGTCAAAATCTATGTAGAATTGTAGAGTATATTAAAATCCTTTAAAATCTATCACTTTAAAAAAATCTATTAAAATCATTTGAAATTCAAATTGACTAGACCCCTAAGTGCATTGCATACAGTACACGCAGATACTCTTCAAAACTTTGTGTTCTGTTGAGGACTGTCATCCTCTTCATAGTAGTTCCACCGGGGCTTGATAGCCCGGCACCCAATCCCCCAAACAACCCAGCCTAATAGCTAGGCAAGAGACCGGCCCAGAATCGATAGATCCATGGGACGGCCTACTTGACGTAGGCTGACGTCATCCACTTATTTTTTATTTTTTGGCGCCAGAGAGGGAGTTGTTGTGGAGGCTAAGAAGCGAAGCTGGTTGAGGCGGGAGAGGGTGTCGGGAGGGAAGGAGCCACAGAGGGAGAATGACGGGAGGACGAAGTGGACGATGAAGAGGTGTGGAGATGCAGAAATTAAAAATAATTGAAAGGCAAAGCTTGGCACCTTTCACGGCCTTACTGCTTAACTTGCGTCCTAAATTTGGAAATAAAGAGTGAAGGACTACAGATATTTAAATAACTGTGGTTCTTTTTAAGAGCAGAGGTTAAAATAAAACAACCGCACACGTAACATGTTCTAAGCCAATTTGACAAGTTCATAGTGTCCCCCAAACATGGATGAGGATTTTCTTCTGGTCTTTTTGTGAGGATCTTCTCCGAATCCTGTTTGTGAGAATCTTAAAGATCAATTCATCTTAATCGTTTGTCGTACATCGTGCGATTATCTTTCGTTAAATACTATTTGTATTTAATTTTAAATAAAAATTTTAAAATAATTTATGACTACAGAATGACTGATGAATGGATATGGTAAATTTATCCCTAAGATCCTTACAAAAAAAATCCGGATAGAATCCTGTTCCCCAAACACATGTAACTTAGGGTCCCCTTCGTATGATATTAAAAAGTATTCCTGTGTTATAATATACGACTTCATATTACACTCATCTTTTGAAGTTTTTCATATTACACTCATCTTTTTAAGTTTTTCAATTTAAGAAATTTATCCCCAAACACATGTAACTTGCGGTTTTTCAATTTAAGAAATTTGGAGTTTCTTTCTTCTAATATTACACTCATCTTTTGAAGCAACAAGTTATCAGAGGCAAAATTCGAACAGTCCTATGTATATACAACTTCATAGGAGTGATCAACTGCACAAAATTCGAACAGTCCTACGTATATAGGATTTCATACAAGATTTTCTTGGAACGGTGGAATTTTTTTCCACTATGCTTACCAGTGAACTAATGGCAACTGCAACGAGGAAGGTGAGGTGTAAAGCTAGTCATCGACCGTGGCACCTGCTCTTCACCCGGGATTTGTAATACTACCTTCCTGGAAATGTGAGAAACAAGGATAGTCATAAAGCACATAAATAGAGGCCGAAACTGGAAAGACCAAATGTGTGCTGCTGCACATGCAGTAGAGGCAGAATGAAGGATTAGAGGCGTCTGGTCTTGCATGGTGGCTCCTTAGAAGTACATCATGGTCTTGTTAACCAGTGGTAGCGCTGCCCCATCTTTTCGAGCTCCCAACACCTTTAGACTGAAAATTCCAGACAAGGCACCAGTTATGTTCACGAGACTTTAACTCAATTGCGTAACGTGATAGACTCAACATATCCATTATTCATTATGCATTGTAATAGATGAAACAAATTAACAGAGCTCCTTCAACTACCCCAAGTATAATGCAGTAAGTTGCAGCTCCAAGAGGAAATACAAGCAAACGAACAAAACCTGCCAGATTACCTCCATTAAAAGAACAGAGCATACACAAGTTCAACAAAAGATAAATATTTCGTCTATACATGGTCCCAAGGTAAAATGTGGTAAGGTATAGAGATATCTACTCGTAACTACAAACTATACTTAGTTTCTGCTCTACTGACAAAACCCTGAATTAACCAACTTGCACATCCGCCTTCATGTTTGTCTTCTACATTATTCTCTGTTTTTGTGGCATTGAAACAACATATTGGCGGCATTTCGAGGACGCCGAAATCGCTGCTATTAGCTCTAAGCAACCCTTGGCGCATGAAAAGGTGCAAATTAGGGAGCATGCACCCCGCACCTTCAGCATGCCCATCATATTCAACAACTCCAATAACTCATAAAGATAATTGAATAATATCCTAAACCCCAAACAAGTTAGGTTACGACACTTTCGGACAGTTTGACATGTTAGATTATAATATCAATCCGATACGTATAATATCAACAAATTACTTGTCTTCGAGTACTTCCTAGGCTAGTACATTTAAATTTTTTTTTTCTCTCTAATTATATATGAAATCAAAAACACATTTCGTGTATGTAACATGAATAATGTTACCTCGTATAAGGCAAGGGGCAGAATATGATGACGTAGTCGGCGGAGGCGCACGTGTAAGTGCTAGTCTTGTCGTCATACGCGTAGCTATACGAGCGTGGGCAAGCATGCTTGAAAAACAGCGAGTACGCCGACGGTTGACATGTGTCGGGCGTAGCGTACCCCTCGCTACAACAAAACTGTGGATCTCCAAACGCCTCGCACGCGCTCCTACACGCCACGCTCCCCCATCCTCCCTCACGCACCCTCAGCGCCCTGGGGCACTTGCCGTTCAAGTCCACAAGGCACCCAGTCGGGCTGCACCCCCCTCTTGTTCCTCCACGCGGCACCACCAGCATCGGCAGGTTGTACCCGTCCACCAAGCTGACGTCATAAAAATCCAAGCCGTCGGCGCCGTTGAGCGTGAACTCGGCCAACGTAGCCGGCGGTTTCGCGCCGCCTCCGGCACACTCGATTTTTCCCGAGCCGCAGTCGGCTGTGACGCAGGAGAAGTTACCGGGCGAGTATTCGGTGCACAGAGTCCGAGCCCAGATCCGACCCGACCAAGATTTGGGTACGGAGAGGGTCCGGGACTTGCCGGGCTTGAGCGCGAAGCCAGTGGGGGAGAGAGGCGCCGAATTGGCGCCGGAAAGTATTCCGGGCCATACTTGGTAGCGGCACTTGTTGAGTAGCTTGAAAGAAGCTGAGTTCACTTCTGCAAGAACCAAAAAAAATTCAAGAAAAAATGAAATTTTGAGAAATGGGTTTTGATTTTCCGGGAAATATAAGAATTGGGTGGGAGAGATAATTTGAATTTAGAGATTTACCTGAGAAGAAAGAGAGTGCGAGAAGTGTGAGGAGAGAGGCAGAGAGTTGAGGACCATCCATTGAAGAAGAATGCCAAAGAAGCTTACTTTTCTTGAGAGAAGACTAGAAGCTTAGAAGAGGGGGGTGTTCGTGTTCATCTTATTAATTTTTCTTTTGCTTTTTGTGGGTTTTGGGTTAAACCAGTAGGGGAAAGCGGCACCGTGTTGGCGCCAAATTTTACCGGTCAAATTTTACTCGACCTTTTTCCATCGCACCAGTCAACTGTCTCCAATGCCTTTGTTGGGAGAGATTTGTATGAATATGGAACGGAACGGAACGTCGAGCCTAGCCGATGGTGTCTCAAGTAGAGTTTATGGAACGCCAAGAAATAGCTGACGAAATTATTGGAGACACTTGTACTTCAGCATTATTGATTTATGCAAGCCATTGTCTATTTGGTTGATTAATTGAATTGAGAGGAAACTCGAGTGTCTACTGCTTCAACCAGGCTGTGTACATTTGGCTTGCCTGGGACCCAGAAAAGGAAAAAGAAAAAAAAAGAGAGAAATGCGGTGGCGAGAGAAGCAAAGCATGAAGCGGCACATGGTGTAGTTCAATTATTAGTCCAAGTGATTAAAGCAGTTATCTGAACTGAATGGACTGAGCGAAGACTCGATTGATCAGAGACTCGAGCTCCGGTGACGTTAAGTGCGAGGCCAAGGGCTATTGGCTAGGCTAACGTCGGCCGGGTTGGGTTGCTGTGGGTGCGCAGAATATCGAGCGAATTGTTGCGCGGCAGGAATAGTATTTCATATCTTGGACCAATAATTAGTAGATGATCTCAGCCCGTCCAATGATATTCTTTTCTTATGGGCTGGGACATCATAGGCTGATGTAATTGGCCTTCACAAAAATGGCCTATGACAATTTGGGTCTTGGGCCATACTGAATTTGGCATTCAGCGAACCATTTTTATCATGGGTCAAAGTCTCAATCATCTCCTGTGCAGGCTGTGAAAGTGACTGGGTCAGGTTAGTACGATTCTCCTGCTGCTGATTTTAAAAATAACTTGCACTCCTTTATGTTTTTCCACTATTTCTCTTGTTCTATCCTAAATTGTGAATGAAGGTACCGTTTGGTACGTGGGACAGGACGGAACAGAGTAGGAAGAGGCGTTCCGTCCTATGTTTGGTGCGCCTAAAACGGCTGGAACACGCTGTTTCACGAAACGAATTTTGAGTAAATTTTTGTTTCACCTCACCCCCTAGAACAACTCATTCCACATCCGTGGAACACAAAATTATAACCTCTCTGTCTCCTTCTTCTTTCTCCTTGTTTCCATCCGAGGGCATTTTTGCTCCTTCTCTGTTCCGTCCCGTCCTGTCCCATTCCGTCCCATTTCTTTCCGTCCCGTTTGTATACCAAACGATACCGAAGGTACATAAACAAACTGAGGACGTCACGACAAAATAGAAGTGCGAAAATCTTTTACCTGCTCAAAAAGTGGTCATGGTGGACTAGTCCTAATTGGAATAAACTGTCATTTTATTTCTGAAATTATCATACAATTCTCAATTTACTCGCTATACTTATTTTTCAGTAAATTAAGGTCACAAACTACATTAAAATACTCATGTGGATAACCGTCTCATTTTTTGTGATTCCTTATTCTGGCGATGCAATTATTATATTTTGGGCTGCAAGCCAAATGGCCGATGTTCTTGCACAAACCTTTTGCATCTATGTTAACAACCACAAGCAACATCATATAAAATCTATGATTGTACAGAACATTGTTATACTGTAGGCAAAGAAAAACAAACTAAGGCAATTACTTTGCTTAGATTTATTCCAAAAATAATAGATCCAACATACAATTATATTTTCCATTCCCTTTTTTCATGAGTTGTACAATATTATCAAATTGCAGCTTTAAACTGTGTTACTAAAGTTGTACACATTTTCTTTATAGAATTCTTTGGCCCTAAAAATTGGTCTCAGAAAGGAGGGCCAGAGAGCCAATCCAGCATTATTGTGTTTTGTGATATATATTTTCTTCAATTCAATTATTTTGCAGCAATAATTATAAAATTTGACCCACTTCTTGTTTTTTGCTAATGGGGTTGACCATATTTCAATTGATTCTTTAGCACAGAACTAAGGACCCATTCGTTCTAGTTGAATTCAGGTCAATGTAGGGTTCTAAAAAGCCAAGGTAATTCTCCGATGATCACAAAAAGACACCCTTACAAACTGTTCATGAACATATCAAGAAAAAAAGGAGCAAAAGTTTGACCAATTATTGAGTTTTAATCATTGGCAAGGATAAAGCAATATGTAAGAAATGTCTTTAACTTAAACAAATTAACACTCCCCTAAATTCTAAGTTAAGTTTAAAAAGAAAACCATGTTCATGTGTTTTAAGTTCATAGAGATACAGCGTCCACAAATTAATGGGTTAATAATGCATTTGGAGAGGATTGTTTCTCTTGTTGGATTGTGAATTAGTTGACATGTTTTTAGTTTGTACATCTGTAAACCTGTCGTTTGATTTAAGTAAATGAATCTAATAAATATAATGGAGATATTAACAAAAAGAATTGATGGGTAAAATGATGATTCATATATTTAGTCAGCATTGCTGGTTAATCTCAATGATATGGCTCTTGTGTTTTGGTCCCCCACCTTATATAGACTCCAAAACATTAATGTTTGGAAACAAAATTCATAGCAACTAACATGCTTTGTCTCTAGATTTGTCACACAAAGTAACGTTTCAAGAGACGAAAATTTCAGAGACAAATTTAAAGGGGATAACCATGCTTTGTGCCTTTGTCTTGGTTTTAGCCTTCTCGTCGTACTATAGCTATATGAATATTAGAATTCAATTGTCTTGATTTGCAATGTTGTTCAAGACCAAACTACGCAACTAGCAACATAAGAATTGTGTAGGGATTTTGACACACGCAGAGGTTAGCTTTTGGCACTCCCATTGCGAGTGAATCATAACTATAGTTATAAATCACTTAATTTGAAGTGTTAAAAGCTAAATTAAGAGTATGAAAATCAGTACCTGTATTGGTAATACTTTTACAAATAGCGAATGCTAAGGATAATCGGGCAAACACGGAAATCTTATAGAGATCAATTGATGAATTCGGTAATATACATAATAATTGTTGACCCGTGATGTCTATATCATAATGGGCACAATTTGATGGAGTTATTTTTTTGTTGATTTCACATAACAAAACTACAATGGCCACCTAACTAGGGCATCATTTTGCTCTGATGTTGCTTTCAAACATTCTATCAAACCTGTACTAGACTGCTAGTACTACTTGTGATCTGACAGGGAGTGCAAACCCTTGATATATATATATATATACATATCTATCTGCTATCTGCCTGCGTGCTTTAGATCTCCTATCATATGATAAACGGTGATACCACCAATTACCAAAGGGTTTGGATGATAAGATGTAATATATGAGAATAAGCATGCATGTATAATATGCAGAATCATATGGTGCTGAGGGCTCGGTCAAAGGAGACACAAGTCACAGGGAATGTTTCTGGTTCTAGAGACTAGAAAGCATGCCCAAACAAAGAATAGGATGTACGTGGGTGCCCAAGAAAACCCATGAATATGTTGCCCTGCATCCAAACAAAACTTTTTACACCTGGTGAATAACGTGGTGATTTCTTAAAATCATTAGCACTACTGCAGAAATGGGTTTATAATCCTAATTATATAAAAAAGGACAAACTCATTGTGCTTCATCATCATTAGGTGGAAGATAATCATGTAATCTCTCCAGGTGTCTTTGTTGTTCGAATTCAAAACCCTATCAATCTTCACACTGCTTTGAAAAAGGTGAAAAAGTGGAGGAAAATATATACGTTCTTGGTGTAATATTATTACCGATAGTTACCCAAATGTTTGTCATCTGGTTAAAACGGTGAACTATATATATATATAAATATATTGAACCTTTTACTCCTTTTAATCTAGTCTTTTCCTATTGTTTTTGTTAAGAATTATTGTATAGCAAGGTTTAGGAAGGCTGTCTGTTTCAATTCACATGTTTGTGTTAATGGGGAAATTAGAGGACGGTCAAAGAATCACATTGACGTATCAAATCTGATATATATTAATACATATGTGCTAAAATCCTTTGCTGCTAGGTTAGCCAGCAATTTGGTAGGTCACGGGGTGCAATATATGCCTAATTTTTCTTATATTTTCAACTAAATAAAAAGGGATCTAGTTATTACGTAGTTCCTCTTGCAAGTACAAAGAGCTGAAAAATAAAATAAAATCTTATATATAGTTAGAGTTTAGACAAATTATAAATGAAGGCCTTGCATTCTTTCCATCAAATACTTTACATATTATGTTTGCTATTAATCATTTAGATTCAAATAACTGTGGTTATAAATGATCATTTTGTTTAGTTATATTTGTTTGTACGATGTTGGAGAAGGTCCTCAGTTAAATCTTTTAGCCGACAATTGTTGAAGAGAAGTATTATTGACATTCCAAAAATCTCATTCTATACTCCTAATAAGTGTATTTTTCTTTCCAAATATAAAAAGTTTTGAGTATAGAATAAGATTTTTGAAATGCCAATAGCAATTCCCTTGTTGAATAACTAAATTAAAATATGTGATAAAGCTAGCTAGCTATTAATCTAGAAATACTTCTCGTCCTAATGTTGAAATAAGTCACAAATTTTAATCCCTACAATCACATTAAGAAAATGCAGCAGCTAGGAGTGACATTATGAAAGGAGATGCTGTTTTCCAAGCGCATGCACATGATGCAGCAAGCAAAACTGTGGAGACTGGTGTTTTATATTGGCCACATATTTTGTACACAATGTGAATTCTAGTGAAAATAATAAGGAACCATGTGAGAGGTTGTGGAGTTAGTAAATAAGTAAGATTTTTTCTGTTCCAAAGCGGTGAGATTTTCGATTGGAATTTGGGCTTTGTTTTTTACAGCAGCAGCGGTGGTGGTGGGAGTGGGAGTGGGAGTGGGAATGGGGAGGTTCTGTTCTCGACTCCACCACACCACAAAGCAATTGAGGGAGGAGGAGATTTTGAGGTTGGCAAATACAATAGATAGCAAAAGCCATGTGAAAAAAGCAGCTTTTCTTCTTCTTGTAAAGCGACCACGCCCGTTTGGCTGCAATCATGTGGTCTACTTTGTTATAATTCCCCCCCTTCACTCTTTCCCTTGCCCTATGTCCCCCTCCCTCCTAAGCACCTTGTTCTTCTACAGAAATTATGAAAAAAATAAATTTACACGACTTGCATTTTTTGGTTTTACTATATTACCCTTTACCAAACTAAATCTTTGCTTGTTTTAATTTCCTTCCAAAAACACTCCTGAAATGTAAAAATATGCATGCATAGATTCATTAGGAATTTTTTTACATGTAGCCTATTCCCCACTCCCTCTCTCAATCATG